GTCCGTTTGCAGTTTTAGAATATCAGCATCTCTGATTTTAAGTATGTTTTAGTTAGTTTAAAATTATCTAAGAATCATAAAATTATGTTGTTGTATATAATAACTGAATTCTCGAAGAATGTTTTATACTATCTACTTATTACCCTGCCACAAAGGACTGGGGCATACATTTTAAATCACAGGAAGACCTAGGTAGTTTAGGTTAAATAATTAAATATGAACACTGATAACTTGTAATTGCTTTACAAACAATATTGATAATTTTAAAGTGACTTGGATATAACCAATGAATGTCTTTTAGATATTACAAAATGTATCCAGAAATGTGGAACATGTTTCCCATACATATCGAAGGAGCATATGTTAGATGAAAAATATCTAATAAATTATCTGTGAGGTAACTATCACAACTGTGAATTTTAATACACAAATATTTTAGACCTAATGATAGGCTACACCAGTGACATAATAACAATTTTGTTTCATATTAGATCAAAAGCCTGTTGGTTGCCATTGTTGCCAATAAGAAAAGAAAAAAAATGCAGCTTTGACAGTCAACCATGCACAATGGGTTTCTTTTAAAGAGACCCATTGTCTAACAATATGAAGTTATTTCTTACATTAATCCAAAATGTTCGGACTAAGATAAATTTGTAAGGTAATGTTCTTCCTCTTACTTTGGCCTTGACATGCTATTCCTTATACTCTCTATAGTTAGTAGTCTAGACCTCATGATAGAAAATATAAAAACAGTTTACTATGCTAAAGGTCATTTCGAGTGCGAGTAATCAAGTACTGGCTTTTGTATTAAATTTATCCCTAAAAAAGTACTTTATCAATATTTATATGTAAACTCAAAATTGATCCAATTTATTATTTTTTTAACAACTAGGTAATTCCTGGACAACACATGAAACACAAAGGAGTAAAGTGAGACACATCATAACAGACCTGATGATATTATTATTATTTTTAAGTTTGATATTACCTTCTGTAATTATTAAACTGAGAACAGCAGAATTTAATACTGCTTATTACCTACTCAGTTTTAATTGATTTCATTTTGTAAGTAAATAAAAGTATGCAACTTTACACTACAGTGGCCAGACAACAAGATGTAAATAGCCGTATATTAACAGTTGACAATAATAATTTCTTAACAAATAACTAGATTAAATTTAAACAAGATTAATTTGAAACAATAGAAGCAACATTCGTAAAATTGCTGTAGAACAGTGAGATATTTTAAAGTTTTGCAATCAAAATTGTGTCTATAAGGAAACCAGTAATTATTTTATACCATTGATTTTGAAAGAAAATGTTTACTTTATTAAATCCTGAATAAATTTCCTACATTACTACAATTAACATATCTTTATGAATTTTGATTATATTGTTCCTAAAAATATGGTTCTAAGTGCTGTTTCAAAAAAAGGACTTAACTCAACAACTATAATGCATGCCCTTTTTACCGACTTCATCTATACAATTTTATTTTAAAATCCACTTTGAATTTCTAATAAGATTACCTATGGAGCGAAACTTGTAACCATTCACCAATATCTGATCCATTGAATGGCTTTGTCCATTGGTAAGGGTGGAATTGTAGATAAGCCTTTGACTGGCGACAGGCAACTATTGAAGGCAAATCCTCTGCTAAGTGTTAGTCACTAGCGACAACACCGATGTGGCGGTTAACATATTAACAAAGAAAATCTTTTCTCGCATTTCAAATATTATTTAATTTATTTTAATTTTAACTAATAAGTATACGGAGCATTTTTAATCATTACATTAAGTGCATAACTATAAAAGTAATTAATACTAATCAAATACCTAGTAAATATAATTATTGACACATGAGAGACAATAGTAGATTTATAAACTCCAGCAAACCATGGTTGATGGAAAACATTTAAACTATTGTTTTGTCACATAATAAACCAATCCATTAGTGGCACAAATTATTAATTAGGGTCAGGAATGTTTTAAAGATTATATTACTAAAAAATTTGTATTGAAATCTATAACCAATCTCGATCCCAAATCTGTTGGATAAAGATCAATTTTTGAAATTAGTTGGATGAACCTCCTGTGGAAAACAGATATCAATACGGAGATTTTGAATCAACCGTTGATGTTCACTGTTCTGTACCAATGCAGTCAAAGTTGTTCAACATCATTGAGGTTTACCTTCAACAGTTTTTGTCAGTAATCAAGAAATAAAAGTCATTTTTGGTCCTAATATCTATCATATGATTATATTTATGTTATTAGGTAATAATATTGCAATAATATTGCAATTACATGTCAGAATTTATATTATAATACTGAATTGAATTAAAGGTCTGAAAAAAGGATGATAGACAATATGTTCTCTCGATTGTGATGGTTCAAAATACCTAATATTTCTCTGAAGACCGATAAGATTTTAAAAATAATTATTTTTATCATGTTATTTTAATAGATCTAAAAGCAGATACTGAAAAAAAAGTGAAATCTTATTTATTAAGCTTCATAATTATTAATACATGAACCGAGTCTTTGTTTGTTTACATTAAGTAGTAATAATTGATCAGTATTTTTTCAGACTGCAACAGAGGTGGTGATTAAGCAGCCAAAAAAAGTTTAAGAATACAAACAAAAATGGTCAAAAATGGGTCAATCATTGTTTGTAAACATTACAAATTACCAATATCATATTTATAATACCGAAAACTTTATCTTGTTCCTATTAGTTAGATTGAATATAATAACATCTATCTGCATTCTCTGCCTAATACACAAAATGTTGCTTCTGTCATTGAATAAATCTGGTGATTGTTATGGGAACAAAAAATAACCTAGCAAAATACTGTGGCCAAGGCTGTAGGGACCTTGCTAGAACTACGTAGAGGAAACAGTAATAATTTTATTTTGCCGTTGTATCATAAATTGTTATAAATGTATCTAAAAGGCGCACTTTTTGCAATTAAACAATCAGTAACTACTTACACATAATGACGTCATTGCATTGACAGTCAATACACCACAGTAAACAATATAAACTTACACTATCGTAATTATTCCAATAGGAACACAGTCAACTCTAATATAAGCGTAATATTGTTTATGTTTACTTACAGATCTCCAAGAATAAAATTAATCCTCCAAATGTATCAGGGCTAACAGCGATTCATAGTTGACAGCGAAACTGCGAATCCTAAATAACATGGCGGCATCTCGTCGCAGCCGGTGTATGTACGTTTACACTCATTTCAGACGTATTACACTTGATAATATTACTCACAGCATCAAGCACTTTTTAAGTTAAAAACACGTCTCAGGACAGAACCAAAATAAGTAAGTTTATATCACCACTAAAAGCAAAATGACGTAACATTCTCAACCTTCACGGTCGCACAGTAGGTATAAATGGTAGTAAAAGATATTGTTATTCTAAACATTATTATTTAGCAAAGTTCTTAAAACACTGTTTCTACAAAAGTCACTATTTACAAACGACTCATTCCAATGTAGAGTTCCTGTGTGTTTGGAAAATAAAAATCAAACGCGATAGATTATTATGCCTAAGAACAAACGTGACACGCAGTCAAGCAAGCTCGCTGTTAACTCTTTATTTTTTATGTCAGTGATACCCAGTAATAAATTTCAAGTTTCTACTGGGGATCTAAAATAATCTAATGTAATTTTATTAAATCATGAAAATATAGTAAAAAATCAATTAACCAAATTATATGCATCTTTCTAAACTTTTTTATGGGTTGCAAAAGCAAGATGAGACGATCAATAAATATAACATCAGCAATATTATTATTTTGTTTGTTTGGGTTTGGGTAGGTACATAGACACTCGATACCTACCTCGATAGTTCTCTAACACTAAAAATTGTCTATGCCTAGACCAAGCCTTGACAATAATACAAACCAAAGACAGCGTTATAAGAACACATCTTTTTAGACTAGAAATATTTTATGTAGGTAGTATGAAAAGATGGAATGACCCTTATTGTACGTCTATAGAATGACCGCATCTTTTTTCGCTCTAAATAAAATGAATTATTCCAGATAATATGCTACCAAATTGTTTGTACTCTCGGTAGCGTAGAGTACTTACTGATAATTGCAATTACTCTGTCATTTGTAAATTATAAACTGTGTACAACAACTTTACTGCCTAACAAATTTTGACTACACGGTTGGACCGGTGGCTGGGCGGTCGTCCAACGGGTAGCTTTTTTGAGCAACTCTTGGTGTGATCTACAAACAACTTTTTTGGCTTTGGTGTAAGAAATTGGTGAATGGAATATTATTATTTTTTTCATTTCACACTTTGACAGACGCTTAAACGATGGAACACTCTCGAATACCTAATATATATTCTGAGACCTAGTACAAGTTTGTTTTACGTTTAAGGAAATCTAAAGGTTTACTGGGATTATTCACGTGTAATATAACATTATAGATTCGACTTTGAGCATTACATTACAATAATACCTCCCTAACAAGCATTTGCGTGTAATGTAACATATTGATTCGACTGAGTGTTTCATAGCAAGATGTCAGACAAAGCGAGCAGGCAGGGGGCTGGGAGAAGTGGAGCATTGATGTTACAAGTTGTATCAAGATATTACACATTGTATCATTACAAGATGCGCATTGTAATGCTCGAATCTTCTCCTTCACTCATGTAATGCTCAGATCTGTAACGTTACATTACACGCGAATCCTCCCGGTGAGGGAGCACCTTAAACGTACCGGCGCTGTGACTGGCCTGTTCCAATGAACCAAACAATCATAATCGTTAGCCGCCCAGCCTCTGCCTGAATCGTATATATGACAAAGGAATTAAATTAAAAGTATTGACAAAAAGGAATTAAATCATTTTCCTTTACAATGATTAAAATGAGACAGGAAGAGAAGACAATAAGAGACAAAGGAAAACATATAATTTTATACACTTTAATTTTATGTTCACTATAATTAAAACCAAATAATTAACTATTCAACGAGAATAGTATTACGAGCACTCGCATACAATAGTCTAACACTATCACAATAACCTACACCTCGTCGTGATCCTGTTACTAATACGTAAGAATCACCAGCTCGTAAGACACGTTTTGCTTTACAATAATCAAGGGCAGCGGAAACGCGTGCTTCTACTTCTGCCGTCCAATTAGATTTTGCGACTTCAAAATAATGAACAGATCGAACTCCTCGCCAAAAACGTAACTGGCGGGCAGTATGGCATGCTCTAGTTACCGCTACTATGGGACAAAGAGGTCTTGCGTGAGCAATTAGTTTGGCTGTTCGACCAGAATTAGTTAAACATATAATAGCAACAGCGCGAGCCCTCATAGCAAGTTCAACTGCGTTTATACTGATAGCTCTAGTGGGTTCATCAAATGTACTTTGCATTAGTTCAATATTTCCATAAATGTAAGGCTGCCAAATTATCCGCTCAGCTTGCCTACAAATAAGCGATGCAGCACTCAAACAATGTTCTGCCATCTTCACAGAGTCATGGGAACGCGGAGATTTGGATGAAGGTGTAGCATAGTGTAATTCTAAAGCTATAACGTCCGCGCCATCAAGTACTAAATTTGCAATATCTGTAACGCAAAGTGTGGGGAGCTGCTCATTGATTACTGCTTTAAAAATACTCGGTTTTCCAGCTTCATTGCACTTCGCTGAAATAATTTTCTGACCGATAAATATTTTCTCCAACGGCAAATCAGTTCCCAAAACACACCGATCTATATAAAGACCATCTGCTTCAGCTAAAATTTCATCTAAATTATCAAATCCTAGGACAGTTTCAATACAAGCTATAACTAAAATATGTTTTCCTTTTTCTGATAACAGCTCTCTCACTACGCGAATGTCTTGGACGGACTGTGCGGCTGGAATAAGTACAGCATCTATGTCGGATCCAATAGCCCAAGACACTTGTTCTTGCATGTCTTCGAATGGCTGTTGCTCCTTTTCACTACAAATAATTGAATCTGAACTACCGTCTTTTACTACGGGTTCAATTTCCTGAGGTGTCTGCGTTACTCGGACGGTCATTTTGGGGCCAATGGTTCCACCAAAGGCTATTGTACAGTCTATTGAGTCATCCCCGACTTCATTTACAATAAGTTTTACCATACCCGGAGTAAGGCTATCAATAAATATAAAATCGTTGGGATGTAGATCAGTTAAATGATCATATCCAATATATAAGCAATCAGGAGTTCCACTTTCACGCCAGCTAATATCTGTTGTTAAACGAATTGAATTAGATTGAATGAGATCCACAGTTGACTTAGGGCCACCTTTTAAATCTCCTGTTACTATGCTTGGACCCCGTACGTCTACTATTAGTGCCAGAGGATATACATACTCTAATTCAGCGCTATAATTATAAACAGCTTGCCTTATGCTCTGAATCAATTGTGCACAAGCTTCGGGTTCCATATTTCGCATATTAAGCCGAGCCACTGTCATACCTGCAGCGATTAATCTTTGTATAGTAGCTGGTTCTCGATTAGTGTAACCAATATCGCACATGAGGCCCATTTGTAATTCTTCGCATGGTGGTTGATGAATGTTTATATTGCAATAATGTTTAAACAAAGATGGCTGTGGTCCTGTAGTTTTTTTAATTCTTTTACTTAAAGCTGATTCTAAAGGAATATGCCAAGGCAATGCCATTATTTAAATGCTAAATAAATAAAAATTGTTAAAAAAGAAAATAACTTTCGATAAAATTAAATAAAAACATAAAGCGATTGACGTACTGCGATTTATTTTTATAAAACATCAAATAATAGATTTAAAGTTTAAGGTTGATTATAATTTACGGTCAAATGCGATCTCCAAGGACGCTGGAAAAAAAGTTAACAACCATTTTCATCATCCTTGTGACGATCTCTTATAAGAGTATAGTAAGTATAATTTTATTTTAAATAAATTGCTCAAGTACCTACTCTTATTTAACAATATTTGCTGATATCCCTACTTTCCCACTTATATGCGTATGAATCTCTCGTAAATACACAGTCGGAATTTTGGCACATGTTTCATTTAATTATTATTATCATCATCGTCATTTTCACCCAAATTCACACCCCTATAGCGTATATATTCCTTTGCCCAGAATATTTGTAGGCTATAGGAATAGGTACTTTTACCTGCCGTAGCATAAGTACTTCTTTTCTTTATCTATCCTTCATTCATCTACTTCCATTGTATCGATGTAGCTAATGACTTCCCAAATCTCTGAAAAAATGTATCGGTCCAGGCACCAAACACTATAATAAGTAAGTAGTAAGTAAATATAAGTAATTAAGAATAAAAGTATAAGACAAGAACATAACATCACGCCTTTTATCCCAGAAGGGGCAGGCAGACGTACACATTACGGCACTTAATACCACTGTTCAATCTTACACCTTTTCACTAACATAAGTCCCATGTAACATGCTTGTGGGAATTGGCTAACCCCCTAGGGTTAGCCAATTGCCACAAGCCATATTATACCGGGCATAATTGCAGACTCCGTGCTACCTATACCTAATACTGAGATTTTTTTTAAACTCGGTAGGTAATACTTTGCATGACCCGGGAATCGAACCCGAGACCCCTGGCACACTTGCGACCACTCGGCCAGTGAAGCAGTCTTTAAGATTAGATACATATTATAATGTAGGTGCATAGTATATACCTATGCTATTGCTGATGCATAATTATTTTGATCAACTTATCACATCAAACCCAACCTTACACTTCCTGATGGAGTTAAGCACAATGCAACAACTACCTTTCACCAACTGTTATTATTTACAGAAAATAAATGTTGTCTTTTTATGTAGTGAGAGAAAGAATGGTTGCGGATTGTTTTAAGTGTATACTATGTGATTAATAATTATTCAGAACTATTTTTTTTTAACTTCAGATAGGTATTATCTTACAAACAAACATTCCAGTGGGATCCATTTTTTAAGTTTTTCAAAGACAATATCATATTTTGAACGAATACGACCCACTTGTTACTTGACATTTCTCTTATTTTTGACATTGACAGTTTTCTTCAACAAATAATTTTGAATTTCTTCAGGCAGCGAAGATAGCAACTTTGCTATTATTCGGAAAATTGGTTTCGATAATAGTGTAATATTACCTAGAACATAGTAATAAGTAAATAGTGCAGTATCTGGTAATATAAACTTGTAATTGTTGTGCTTTAATATTTTATAAGAAACTATTACGATGGTAATATTTTTGTTTTCATAATTTCGAGTTAAACAGTACTGTAGTATAAACAGTAGTAAAATTGATGTCTTGATAATAAAGTTATTTACATGTTGCTTTTATTAGGTCAGAAGTAATAAGTAACCATTATACAGAAGAGTATTGGATGAGATTGTGAGAAATGCTTGTAAAGATCTATAAACACATTTAACCAAGCAAATTGTCTACTGGCTGACTATTGTATATATGGTAAAACTTAAAGTTTAGCTAAACCGGCAAACTACTGTAAACTGGTTAGAAAAAATGAATTTTATTCCTTTTTGACACCTTTTTGTCTGAATTATTTAAAAGCAGTGAAAATTTACAAAAGGCAATAGCTATGGAATTAGAAATATCAGTTAGAGATGCCGTCAGTGGTCTTAAGTCCGTTCGTGCAACGGAAAGAAAGAAAAATGCAGAAATTTTAAAAGAATTTCTTACTAGAAATTCAGTACCTTCTCTGTTAACTGATAATACACTGAAAAAGAAGGGATATACTTGGAATAATCTTTTTGATGACATTAATGAATATATTTTAAAGGTATATAAAACATATTATTTATTTAATACTTATGAATCAGACTTATTACTATAACATTACAAAACCTTGTTTGTTTAGGAATTAGAGAAGTTTGAGACATCAAAAACATATGAGAACATAATAAGACCACTTTGTACAAGTTTATTACACCAATGCATGGCCGGCTCTAATAAAGGTAAGTACTTTTATATTGTAATTCATCATACATTATGTTATGCTAATATAAAATACTTTCTTTTTAATCTTTTTATGTAATAACACCATAATATTCACTTCATTATTACTTAACTTCTTAATCTCTGATTATGAAAAATCCATAATATTATGTTTTTTTATAAAAGTAGTCTCTAATCATCAGAAATAAGGTCTATGGAGTAAGTGAAAAATGGTCACCAGTGACCGCTTGGGGACTGGGTAGTTAAATCTATCAAAAAAGCATGAACTTCTAACTATTCTTGTTTATATTTTCAGGAAAAGCGTATATTAAAACTGAGAAGATTGTAGAAATGTGTCTGTACATACTAAAAGATAGTCGCATGGTGAGAGCTATTGGAGACTGTTATTTAAACTTGTTATTGAAACATTTTTTACCTTATGAACACTATTTATACCATGTCACACCAGCTACATGGAAAGGTATTTTTTTTTATTTTGATCTAAATTATCTCTATTTACTATATAACTCATAGCTACTTCCGCGCGATTTCACACGTTCTGCTCAGGTCCTATTGGTCGTAGCGTGATGTTTTATAGCCTATAGCCATCCTCGATAAATGGGCTACCCGACCCAAAAAATATAGTTATGGAGATTAGCACGTTCAAACAAAAAAACAAACTCTTCCGCTTTATATAATAGTATAAGATTAGAAGGTGATAACTGGAGACCAGATTATATCAATTGCGTGTATGCGCAGAGCAGATTTTTTGTTGCACATTGTTGCATCATGCATGTGCACCGTGCATAAAATTCAGGCTCCATTGATAATATTAAACAAGTTGTTATAAAACATGCAATTAATCATTTCAATGAATTTAATAGATAACTTAAATAACATTTGCAGAACTTTTGGATGTTTGTATCGATGCATGTTCCTCAAATGATTACAATCTCGACACCTTCACAAAACTAAGACTTGTACTACTTGTAATGAAAAGTGGAAAAGAACATTGTCAATTTGTGAGATCGCTTGTGGAGTCACTGCCCTCATTAGAAGACCACTTCTCAAACATTTCAAATGATAAGAAAGTACAAGATATTGTCATAGAAATTGTTACTTTGTTACTAGAAACGGTATGTTAATATTTAATTGACTTTACTTACAATTTCTTGTGTTATTATTTTATGATTAATTAAGAATAATTTTTATTTTTAGTTGTCTTGTGAGTATCGGTTGACCATGTGCCAATTTACTGAAACTCTCATGCCTTCGTTATTGAAATTTTATGACCCTAACAAGGACCAGAAGAAAAAGGTAATAATATTAATTTGTATTGACAAGTTTAATCAATTTGATAACTCTATAATTAATAGATATGCCTAAGGTTCAGTATGTGTATAAAACTGAAGTTAACCCCTTTTATTTGCAGAATTTATTTTTTAACTTTTTATACCTAACTGTGATACTCCATCACCCATTAGGGAGAACTAAAAATGAAGAAGGAAGCCTTGCAAATAACTGGGAACTGTGGGTGAAATATTTGAACAGTATAATGGAAATAATATGTTCAGAAGTGAACTATTTGCAGAAAAACCGTAAAATGAATGATAGAATTTTTCAACAATGTTCATATTTTTATAATCTAGCTGCATCAGTCTACTATCAGGTAAATTCCTCTGCATTTGATAATAGTAATTTAAGTACCTTATCATTATTACATAAAATTTTGTTTTTTTTTCTAATTGGATTGATTCCTCTGATTAGCATGTATTGCTGAACTAAACATTTTTAATAATATTTTTTTATTTAATTTAATTCATTTTTCAATTACAGATATTTGAACTGTCTCAAAGGAGCGACAGCAATGAGAATGTATCAAAAAGATTAAAATTGAGCATAAACAAGAACAAAACATTTGGTGACCTTGTGAATGAGTTACAACAAAATCATGTACCATGGTAAGTAATCTGATCATTTGTTTCCTGTTTCTCATCACACTGTTCTATTTTGCTATTATTATTACATTCACATGTAAGGTCAATAGATAGCAAGTATGTTGAACTGCAAACTGCATGCTATTGGATGGATAATGCGACAGATCCCTTACGTAAACCTAGAATAGAATAGAAACTATGCAATTATACCTACATCTACATCTATAAAAAATTAGTCTCGCTAAAACTCGAAAAGGGCGTGTCCGATTTGGCTTATTTTGATCTTGAATTACTTGTGGAAGGTTTAAAAGGTGAGAATAAAATGTTTCTGGTGGTACAAAGTTTGCCAAGTCTGCTAGGTATAGATAGAAATGAACTTTATAATATACAGTGAAACTTGGTTAAGTGGGACCTGGATAAGTGAGAAACCGCCATAACTGGAACTCATGCTGAGGTCCCAACACATTGGCACTGAATTACCTCTGTTAGTGGGACGAGGTAAACCTCTATATCTGGGATTTGTTCCTTCGATTTATCATCATAGTTACCTCTATAACTGAGACAGCGAGTAAATTTTATATGCATAAACCTCTGTAACTGAGATGACATTGTTTATTTACTCATTCTTATTCTACCCACAAATTCCATACGTAATTCCAAGTCCACCTCTATTAATGGAACCCTCTGTAAATGAGACAGATATTTATTTATACCTGTATATCTGAGACACTGGGTAAGTGGAATACCTCTATAAGTGAAACGATATTGCAGGTCCCTCGATGTCTCACTTAACCAGGTTTCACTGTACCTCTTTACCGCACATAGAAAAACGTATCCTACTTTGGTACTTAGACAGAGGCATTCATATTAACTGTGAGGAGAAATGTACTAAAGTCCAGCTATACAAAAACAGATTATCCGGGTCTCGCCATGTATGGTCTTTACGTGCATTGAACGGCCAGTTTATACCGGTTTTGTGTATTGTTAGGTACACTACTGCGTTACTACCTGATGTTTACTGTACTATGTTGTTTTAGGCTGGGAATCATACATGTCTATGTACACAAGTATGCCAACAATATATCTATGGAAGATTATCTGTTACTATTGAATGCTCTTCAAGTACTTCTAATGAATAATACTAGTCATTTGGAATGGAACACATTTGAGCAGTTGGCTTGCTTAGTACTGAAGAACTCCGGTGGAAATATAAATAAAAATTGTGAATTTAAAAATGCTGCTGTATCATTATGGAATTCTTGTGTTAGGTAAGATACACTATCTTATCATTAGAAGGCTCCACGCCCTATCCACCATAGGGCGTGGGGGGGTGTACCCTATATTTGCTATTGGGTACAGGCTATAAAAAAAATTTATTGGAGCCTATGGGGTTACTCCATGCTATTATGCCGAATTACAATATCTTAAATACCAATAATAATATTAGTACTCCAATTTCTAATAGAATTGCACTGGTGATCAACTGACGAGCATTTATAAATATCAAAAATTTAATTCGTGTTTCAGAAATTGCACCTCGGTGGCTCCATCTCACAAAGCAATACATGTGACAATGCAACACTTATTACATTCCAATGTTTTGGAGTACGCAGACGCTCTGCACCTGATAAAGCTCTACCTATCAAACGATATGCCAATCACTAACAACAGTGTTCAGACATTATGTGATACCTTCCACAAATTCTACAGCAAATGCAGTATGGATGACTTCAGAGTCAAGTGTTTATCATGGCTCACGGTCAATGAAACTCCAACTTCATTTGTCCCAGAAATATCAGAACTTTTATTCAGATTAGTCGCTAGCGAAAATATTTCATTCCATATTATTGAAGCAGCTGAATCTGAATCTGATAACATACGCAAAATACTATATTACAACACAGAAAAATGTATCTTATTCAGTGAATTTGAGGCACAAAATTCGATAAAAGCTTTAGAACCAGTGATAGCATATGAACACATTGGCACAGTTTGTGAAATCGAGGTCCAAGTACATGACTATCTTAGGAGAGTTTTAGTCGCATATAATGCGCGACAGTTACAAGCGGAAGCAGATTTAATAGAATGTTTAAAATTGATTCATATAAGCTTCCTGTACCTTGAAAGGCTCCTAAAATACAATTTGAAATCTCAAAATGATATTGAATGTAGTGAGTTGTGTAATTTACTTACAACTACTTTGACTCGAATGAGCGTATCTCTGAATAGTTTATTGGGGAGTAACTCTCAGATATCTAGTAAACTGAAACCTATAGAGCTATTGAGAGAACTTTTAGTCATAGACTTTAATCCTGTATTATCAAGAATGTTACGTGCAAGTATCGATGCAGATCTGTTCCATACAATCAATAACATATTGAATATTGAAGTGAAATTTGATGAATGCGATATCATTATTGATGGAGACCAGGACGACATAAATATGAATACATTGAAACATAATTGTTTCTTGTTACTCGCTGCGTACTGCACTCAGGAGTCTGAGTATCAGGAAGAATTACTGAAGTTGATATTGGATGAAAATATCTACAATTTTAAATATGATATTCCGTGTATATTTCAATGCATAGAGCTGCTAATAGACTCTAAAGTTGAAAGGCCTCCTTTAGGTAAGCTATTAGCTTTCTTGTACTACATTTTAATTCTTATAGCTTCTTAATACGCAGTAGTAGTTAGTTGATTAAATTAGATCTAACTTATATTAACAAACTAATGTGTTCCAGGTCTAATATTCACCTTAATGCAGCACATATGCCAAAAATTGTACAAAAATACTAAAGTTTCGTATGAAATGCTTAGAGTACTCGTGAAAATAATGGATCCTCTATGCGTGGACAGCAGTGACATGAAGAAGAATTGTTTGATCATGATCAGAGTTATTTACAGCTTTGTGACAACATGTACTACCCACCGAAAGTAGCAGCTTTAATATACGAATGTGTTACAAAGATTGTAATAATGAATCGCCAGCAATCTATGAACATTGACGATAGTTTTGAAGAAGCTTGTATGAATAAGATGAAAAGCAGTGTCCATAGTATTCGACTCCATTGCTGCTACTTATTAAAACTTATTAACGATTTCTCTGAAGACGATATTGATGCGTTCTCAGTTCAATTAATGGATATATTTTTAACTGATGTAAGTATGGGTAGTGGAAACACAATTTGAATTAAGAACCTTCTTTCTTTACCGGCTTAAAAAAAGAAGGAGATTCTATGTACGGATGATTGTTTTTTTAAAGTCTGTAAAAAATATTGTTATTATACGAGTATGGTTGTATTATTTTCGTATCATACCAGTTTTGGTAGGATTTTCTACAATAGTGCATTTGTCAGTAGTTGATAGATTTTTTAATTAATCCTTATTTCAGGTGTCATCGAGGAAAGAATCGATATTAAAGGACGAATCAGCCAATAGAACTGCCACAGTACTTCATGCTTTTGTTGCGCTGGCGCAATCTAAGCAATCCTCCACAATAAGCGTCATACTTCAAGTGATCCACTTGCAGAAACAAAAGTCATTAGATAAACATTTGGTCACCAAAGTTTTAAAAATTATTCTGAATTCTGTTGGCATAAAGGATCTACAAACATACTTAAATAACAACATTTTATCTCTAATACATTTTTGGTTTACTAAAAACAATGAAGTTAAAGATTTTCCAATTTATTTGCTTGGGTTTGATAACATGGACAGTTTTATTGAGAAACACATGAAGTGGGTTGTTACGGGAGAGATATTATGGCGGCAAGGAGGGAACATAAAAAATGGTGAAGTCTTGAAGAAAGTTGCTACGAAGCTAAATAAATCTGCTGAAAATGTTATCGAGGTATGTAAACAGATTTTAAACTTAACTATATCAAAATATTATAAAGTAGTTGCTTTTCGCGATCTGAAAATATTTTTTTTATTTATTTATTTACACTTTATTGTACACCATTAAATAAAAAAATGTGTACAATGGGCGGTCTTATCGCAAAAATAATTAGTGATCTATTGTTTATTTACTAAAACAATTAATGTTTTATTGTAATAAGTTTTCTAATTTGTATAATGCGTCAAGCGTGTCCTTACATTGTTCTCAAGTATACGTACAATATTGGATAATGTATCAGAGAGATTGTAAAACATATTTTTTTAAAAGAGTAACGAATAGAATTTCTTTCCTCTCTATTCGAATCTACACTTTGGAACGGGCACCTAGCTTACTGACGGACAGACTGACAGACTATTATTTAATTTGGTATTTGTTGAAGTTTCAAAAGGACCAAATTATGATTTAATTTAATTATATATGCTTTGATGCTTTTTTATTTTTCAGACTTGTTTCTCCAATTTAATGGCGCTATGTATGCCTTATATCGTCAGTGCTCAATACAATATTGACTTTAGCGACCCACGGAATAGAGATGCTTTTAGAAGATCAAAGAACAATGCGAACAAAATGTTTCAAATGATGGGCGAGATTTTAGAAAATGAAAGTTGGAGTAACCTCTTTGCTGAGAATGTAGGGGAGTTATTGCTTCTAGTCACTATGCATATGAGTGATACTGAAGAAGCTGAACAAATATTTCAAGTTAAACTGCCCAAACGAAATCAAGAATTGTATTATCCAAAGAGGATTTTCTCGGCCATTTTGAAATATTTTGAAGTGAGTATAGAAGATTATAATTTTTTATGGAATAAGCCGATAAACGGTTTGCTCGTTTACCGGCTAACCTACCAGAGGCGTTACGAGTGCGTTATCGATCTTTGGCGATTAGGAATTTGAGAATTGTTGGGAATTCAAGAATTGGGGAGACTGGGGTATGGAGGGGGTAATTGGGCCTCCGGTAACCTCACTCACACGACGAAACACACGCAAGCGTTGTTTCGCGTAGGTTTTATGTGAGACCGTGGTATCACTCCGGTCGAGCCGGCCCTTTTTTGCCGAAGCGTGGCTCTCCCACACTTATAATTGTTATCTGCGTGGTATATTTCTACGTCTGTGTTTTTGGGATGCATCCCAAACGGCAGTTTAAGCTATGGTAAAAAGGGTATTTGGGGCGTCAAGGCGCAAGGAGGCATCGAAGAACCGCTCGCGTAGAAAATATTCGCTCTTTAATATCATCAACAATCTTAGTTTGTAATAATAGATTTATATTTATTGCACCCTTAATTTCATGTCATCCTTAATTTCAGCATCTCACAGATGGAGACGTACTACAATATCTCTGTAAAGATCAAACAGTGACAATATTCAAAATTCTGTTCGAACTATGGAAAGCTGTTACCCAAGAGAGTATATTTGAACTGAAAATATTAGCCCTTCATTCATATGTTACATTTATAAAGAATATACCATTAGGTTACCCTTCCGACGCATTTATGTGTAACTTTGCCTGCAACAGTTTCACTCAAGCTATCAAACATTGTAACGACAAAAGAGAAATGAAAGCATACATTGACGGTTTAAACCTAGTCCTGAGACATTTGTTACCAGAAAAAGCTTCACTTATGCAAAAGTCTCTCTTAGAATTGCTCCCAGCATTAATAGTTAAAAAAGAATCGGACTACGAAGTGGAATGCACAGCATTCTTAAACGATCTGGTTGTAAAAATGAGGACTTATCTGCATCATAGCGAAGATGTTGTGGACTTTATATCATCAATGTCGCAAGATGATGATTATGTCCGTTGTGGCAATTCAGCGATATTTAAAGAAAAGTTAAAAACTCATAGAATGAGTTTGAATCGTCCCAGGTAAGTTGGAAACCCACAATTTTAAAATGGATAAAAGATATAAAACAATTCTTTCTTAATAATTAAAACGTGTCCTTGTTTTTAGCCATGACACTTTGTTAAAACTCCGACAGTTTTTAAGTTGTAACAAAGAACACATTCGTAGCTTGTATGACGATTTCGGATCGAAAACGTTCTCCGAAGACTGTGGGACGAGCATCATACATCAGATCGTACAGGCACTCTGTAATATACTGAAATCGAATTATGATGATAAGGTATTCTTTTCGTTTTCTCTTTGAATTAATATTTTAGAAATGTCTAAACACACATCTCTCTGGATGTATATAGATAATGTCTACAAAAGTCGAGATGGGAGTTATCACCTCCTCTACTCTTGTCACTAACCACAAGTTTTGAAAAGAAATGGAAAACGGTCGAAATTGATAACCGATTTTAATACAAAATCTCTTGATCTCTTGGCGATTTAAAACTTATAATTAGAAATTATAAGTCCAAGTTTCTTCCCGATGTTTTCATTCACCGTTTGTCTGTGGTGTCTAAGTAATCTTAGAAAGTGCATGTAACTCGGAAAAGTCACATTGATATTTGCGGTTGGTAGGTTTCCAACCCGCAACCTCATTCATGAGAAGTCTTAACTTTAGAATTCTAAATTGAATATTGAACTTTCAGACTATAGTGGAAGCATGCAACTGTTTATCGGAGATCAGCTCATACGATTTAAAGACGTTAGTGACCGTTCCACCAGCCGATACAAATCAAATTATGGCGGCAAATGCGACTCGATACTTTATGCAAGTTGTTGGGAAAGCACTACTGGAAGTCTTCTTTGATGATGACACTAATGTTACTGATGAAATAGCCGAGACCATGAATGATCTGTTGAAGTTCTTGCGTATTGATGATATTCCAGGTATGTGGGAATCACAAAGCGATTAAAGTATAATTAGAAAAAAGATAATTGTTTGACGGCTTATTAGTACGAGTTTATTTCAAGTTTAAAGAGAATGAACCAACCAATCAGAGCGCCCAAGTGTTTTTGTTCCATCTTTAAAAATATTTCATTTTAAAAATCGTTTCAGAATTGGAAGAACTCGATAGAGATGTATTAAAACCATTTTCGTCTGAGAAACAAAGTGAACTGGATACCGTTACTGACAGCATGGCGTTTGAAGAGTACTGCTTATCAAATCCTGAGGGAGTGTTCCTCAATAGCCTCTTAACTAAAGATAACGCTGATTGGTTAAAAGAGGTCACGTGCACGCTTTTACAGTTCGTTCATTCGTCTACCAATTATGTGAATAATTTAAGGCGAGTTTGCGCGTTGAAGGTAAGTTTACTTTATTTCTTAGGTTGTAGATTATTGACATACGAATGCTAAACATTGACATACGTTGACGGTTTATAAGCAAATATATAAATGTTTCAGCCTCGTCTTTGCCGCAAGATATTACCGGCTCTTGTAGGCCTACTTCTGCAAGGGTTTACTGACAGGCATGTAAAAGCTATCAGTGGTCACATAAAGAAATTCTTCAATAACATTTGGGAGCAAACGTTTGACGAGAAGTTAGAGAACAGTGGAGACAGTAACTTTAATGCCAGAACAGATGGCACAGTGACGCATAGCTACAAAATTATTATTCAATACATGCTCGAAATTGTTGATTTTGTACGTATACAAAGGAAGTTTATGCAGACAAGGCAAGTATAATTTACTTTTCTTTTTAAGAATCTCTAGTTTACTTGAATTAACAAAAAAATTCCATATGTTTAGGCCTGGAAATGCAATAAAGAAGCTAAATTACTTAGAACTTGATTACGATAAAGTAGCGTGGGCCGCGGCGGTAGTTGATCAGAACTGGGCGGCAGTTTACTATGGAGAACTATGGGCAGTCTTTCAAAATGATGGCATTTCACCAAACTCACCAGAGGCCACCTCTAGACTAGCTGGCGGAGAGAATCTACAGAGAATATTTAGAACGGTAAACTTTAAATTCAATTATATAACTTTAGTTCGTCTTTGTGATAGCTTATAAATAATTAATTTCTCTAACCAGTGCTATGTGTCCATCGGAGAAGTAGATGCAATCGAAGGATGTGGCACGGAACACCTAACAATGGAGAACGAAAAGCGAAAACATCTGATAAACACGGGGCAGTTCACCGACGCACTACTGATGCACGATATTGCGCTTTCTTGTGGCGGACAGCCCGACCAGGACCTCCATTACGGCGTGGTTAAGTCTCTGCACAAGTCTGGCATGCATCATCTTGCATTAAGCTATATAAAATCCCTACCGGAGAACGACCAGTTGAATGATTTCAGATACGAATGCTTGGCGTTCTTAGGTAAGTTTTCATACCTTTTGCAACCTACTAACTAGGAAACTTAACACAAATTGATTTTATATTTTCGATCTCAGGTGACTGGAGCCATTTCGTTGATACTCGAGAATTATCAGAAAAACACAAGCAAGTCAATTGTAACCAAAACTCGGTGGTGAAAGCATTCCAATATGCTTGTCTCAAGAGCTGTCTGAACGTCCAAACTACTCCTGAATTTGAGAATAAACTCCTGGTACCTTTGAACAAAGCGAAGCTAGCAGTATCAAGATTGTGCCATAACTTGAATATGGAAAACTGTCAGAATATTTATAAAGTTTTGGAGAAACTTCATATATTTAACGATATTGAGGATTATTTCTCCGTAAGGATGAATCGTTGTGATGTGTCGGAGCTGCTTCGGCAATGGGACGTAGAGAACTTGCCGCCGTTCATTGACTTCAAGCACATCGAGGCGTTGTCCTCCCAGCGGGTGCTGATACTGGAGCACGCTGCCAAGTCTTACAGCGACAAGTTGAACGAAATTGTGTCGCTCCAGATACAATATGCGCGTAAGTTATTATTTAATTTTTAAAAGTCATTGACTTCTGTGAATAAAATTAATAAATATTATCTTATTATTCCAGAAATGGCCCTAAACAACCGTAGGGTACAAATGGCACAGCGCTTATTAGCGGTCGCCAAAAAATGTAAGGTATCTGAAGATGTGACGTTGGTGGAGAGCGAGATAGCTTGGGCTAAGGGCCACAAGGAGATAGCGCTGTCTCTCCTTCGCAATATTGTCACCAATCACACGCTTGACGCCAAACTTGCAGCTACGTCTTTACGGTAAATTGTATTAATTTTTACATTATTTCAATGATTTACATTCCTGGGTCAGAAAACGAATCCAAAAATTACGCTGAATGTATGAAAATGGTAACCAACTTGCTCCATAATTACAGGGAAAATAAACTCTATTATTTACACTTCTAATTGTACAGTTGACACGGTAAATATGCGACTAGTTGCTGTGTAAAATTTTACGGGGTCATATGGTTGTGACGTGCAATGCAACGTGTTAAATTAGTACATATAATTGGGTAGTTGCCTGGGTCAAAAATAAATTATTTTGATTTTTCAATCCAATTAAATATTGAAAAATGGTTACACTTTCATTCATTGATTTGCCGATATACTTAATTTTCGATTTATTCTTGCATTTTCTTCGGATATAAGTGTGCTATTTGACGCGAAAATATGATGACGTCATAAGCTAGTATTTCGTACAGAATTCATAGAACAGTATCGTTTTTGACGTTTCGATAAAAGTATTGAATTTGACTAGTTGTCAAATACCGTATTGTAAACACATCCGTAATATTGTAGGTAGCAAATCTTTGAGTAGGACCGTTTAACTCGTCGAGTACCGGTTTTATAGACACAATTAAAGAACAATAGGTCGCGGTCACCGGTGACCGCTTGGTGTTTGACAGTTTAAAAAAATCTAGGAAAAATGTCTCTTGTGCATTTTTTCTTTCTTTTTATTATACAATGTAATAATGTTATATTCTAGCCGCTACGCTCTTTGGATGGCGGAATCGAAACGCGACAACCCTCGAGAGATAATACACAAATATTTGCAAAAAAGCCTCGACGTACTCGGAAGTGAAAATATCGAAGTTAGACTGAAGGTCTATTATGATATTGCAAAGTTTGCTGACGCTGAGTACAAACAGGTATGTCTATGACTATATTCATCATCATCGAAAACAGTGGAAAGATGTCCACTGCTGGACAAAGGCGTAGTCCTTCACGTCGATCGACAACTCGCCACCTGCATCCACTGGCTCCCCGCAACTCTGGCGATGTCGTCGGTTTACCTAGCGGGACGCATGCTCACGCTTCATCTTCCGGTCCATGGTCTCCACTCAAGGACTTTCTTGGCCCATCTGCCATCAGTCCGTCGAGCGCCGTCGCCTGCCACTTCAGTCTTTGGCGAATTTCCATATTTCGGATTTTGTCGCGCAAAGAAACCCCGAGCATAGCTCTCTCTCCATCGTGCGCTGAGCGACTTTGAGCTATGTCTATGTTACTTAATTGTTATTGTATCTTGTATGACGGATGTATGTCATTTAATAATAATGTAGTTTATAGTATATGTAAGAGTATTTTGAAATAGTTACAGTAGATCGGTTCAACGATTATTTTTTATGACGGGGGGAAACCTTCAAAACGCGCCTAGCTTTTTGGGATGAAAGACTAGGGATTGTGGGGTTTTTACCGCACTAAAACCACCCCGGTGGCAACCCTCACCACATGTAAGGGACAACGGGTCCTCTCACCTACAGTGTCACAAACTCAATAGTTCGTGAGATTGATGACCACTTTACGATATTGGTATATATAGATTATGTTTCCCTATTATAACCTGTAGTAAGGATGTAAATGAATTTGGTTTTAGGTGGTAGCTTACATGAGCTCTTCAACATACGAAAACAGAGTCAAATGCTTAGAAAATATGAAAGGCACAGCTTCTTCTTTAGGCAACAAATCTATTAAGTCGCTCACAAAGTAAGTATTGATTTATTAACAATCTAATTGCAATGTAAATGCTTTTTCTAATTGTTACTCAGTCTTTAGGACTACTATTGCTATTTAGGATATATATTTATTTATTATATTATAATTTATTGTGAGTCCCTTTAACTTCTTTAGTTATGTATTATGATTATAACCATCATGTCTTCCCTCTTTTACCTTAACTTCTGTTATTTACTTCATACTTTCTTTACTATAATTTTGCTCCTACCGCTTTAACATTCTGCACCACCCAATGATCGACTGTCAAATAATGCCTACGACATTAAGTTCGCCAATTTCACAGAGTATGTACAATAAAGTTTAATAAATAAATAAATCTTTGATTATATATTTCAGAGAGGAAGGAAAAGCTTTACTGACCAATAGAAAGTTTAAAGAACTCGATGAAGCTGAAATTGCAAACGCGCAAGTAGAAAAAGACAATTTCTTGCAGTTAGCTATGAGGTAAGTTTAATTTATAGATTGTAGAATGGCATGGCTGGTACCTACTTTATCTAATGGCGATTGATTGAGTAATCTACTCAATCAAAAATACATTATTTCAACTATTCAATAAAACAACAATATACTTAAAAATAATCACAGTTTAGTTACTTCATTTGACAATTTACTTAATTTTCGGATGTTTCTAGCTAATTTGAAAAGAAAAGTGTGCTATTTAACGTACACTATATCGTACTTACATAATTCATACAAAATTATAACATTCTCAGTTCAGTCTCTAAAGCGAAAAAAAAGTTTTGTATTTGATTAGATGGAAATCCCTATTCGGCTATTTATGTCGTGCCCAATTTGTAAAAGGGTATGAAATATTAAAGTTCATTCTTTACAGATATTATCTGCTATCGTTAAAGCAGTGTGATGAGAACAACTTGTCAGTGTTTCGTGTGATATCTCTGTGGTTGGCTAACCAGGACTTTGAGTTTGACGCTGGAAAGGAAAAGTTTGAAGACCTCTTGAACATGATACCTTCTTGGAAATTTGTCACCGTACTACCGCAACTCACACCAAGGCTCACTGATGAAGATACGCCATTCATAACGATCTTGAAAAATATTATAAGTATGCATCTATTACACTTTCATTTAGTTTTTTTATGAGATAAGCCGGTAAACGGGCAGACGGATCACCTGATGGTAAACAATCGGCGTCGCTCACGGACACCCGAAACACGAGAGGCGTTACAAGTGCGTTACCGGCCTTTTGGGAATTAGGAGTTTGAGGATTGTGGGGGATTCAAGGATTGGGGAGACTGGGGAAGGGAGGGGGTAATTGGGCCTCCGGTAACCTCACTCACATGACGAAACACAAGGCAAGGGTTGTTTCACGTCTGTTTTCTGTGAGGCCCTGGTATCACTCCGGTTGAGACGGCCCATTCGTGCCGAAGCATGGCTCTCCCACACTTATTGGTGTTAGGTTTCGGTTATACAGTGAAACCTGGTTAAGTGAGACATCAAGGGACCTGCAATGTCGTTTCACTTAAAGAGGTATTCCACTTACCCAGTGTCTCAGATATACAGGTATAAATAAATATGTGTCTCATTTACAGAGGGTTCCATTAATAGAGGTGGACTTGGAATTACGTGCGCAATTTGTGGGTAGAATAAGAATGAGTAAACAAACAATGTTATCTCAATTACATAGGTTTATGCATATAAAATTTACTCGTTGTCTCAGTTATAGAAGTAACTATGATGATAAATCGAAAGAACAAATCCCAGATATAGAGGTTTACCTCGTCCCACTAACAGAGGTAATTCAGTGCAAAGTGTTGGGACCTCAGCATGAGTTCCAGTTATGGAGGTTTCTCACTTATCCAGGTCCCACTTAACCAAGTTTCACTGTATATTTATTTTAAAGACTTAGCGGTAAAAACTCATTGTGTTTTGAAGTCTTTTGAACATTGCCGAGTACTAATCTGATATCTATAAGCAGTATTTCAAATGCTCATTTTGTTTTTGAGTTACAAAATCGTGGCGATATTACTAATTTGATTAGCCACTCTAACGTCCGGGCCGCGCGACCGTTTATCTCTCTAACGTCCAGCTGCGCGCGGCGTCCGAACCGCGCGCGACTCGCAAGTTCGTCGTAACAAAAAACCTATATAGCTACTGAACCGTAATGGCTAGAATAAAGAAAAAAATACCAAAAAAAAGATTGAAGAATACTGATCAATCTTAACGATTTTTTTAAATCGTAAGTTATAATCTTTGATACAAAAAACCGGGTAAAACATGTAATTCAGAAAAAAAATACACAATTATTTCTACCTTTTTAGAATATAAGGCACAACTATTGCATATTTTATCAATAAAATATTTTTACAACAAACTAGACTTATTACCCTTTCTTCTGATGTATATACGATTACATTCGGTTAACTCTAAGTATTTTAATTAAATCAAAACAAAACACTACTCCTCGTAATTTTACCGCGATGTCCCGAGCGCCCTTGACTCGTCCGAGAAGGCGAAATAATAGCAATATGGCCGCCCGTCTAAGGTTTCCCACACACGATGTAATTTTAATAAAATATTTTAAATAATTTTATGAATTAGTTTTATGCAATAATTGTATTTTTGAAGTTGTTTATTTGTTCTAGTTGGTTATTTAAATAAAAAGCAAATAAAAAATCAATATATAATATAATAATTTATTCCTTCCACACATTTATATATGGTAAGCCATAAAACAATTTTCAATGCAGAGATTGACGTCGCTGTGAATAATTTAAAACATTAGTATTGTTAAAAGAATAAAATAAAATTTGGCGAAGCATTAAAATATATGCGACCATGCAACACGTGCAAGGGCAACAGTAAAAAAGAAAGGTAGTCAAATCCACAAGTGCATTTTTTTACATTTAGCGGAAATTAATCAACACGAACAAACATATAATTAATGTTTCAAAACAAAAAAAAACCATTAGAACATTATACATATCCAACGGAAACCAAGCGAAAAATAAATGATGAATATTAGTACAAAACCCAAAAGTGCATTTTATATTAAATATTAGTATCATCTCAAGCAAAATATTATACCACCACTAGCAAAACAAAAATAATGCAAACATATTTTGCCGTGTATAGCGAACCTTATTTATCACGTTTCATGTAACGTCCGTGGATACCAAACAGTCCACATCAAAAAACCTGAGGAACACATTGACATTATTATGGAATCTTCAGTGAATTTAGTATATTTCTCTTTGAAAAATGTATTATTTTGCTTATTACGAAATGTATTTCGATATTTTATATACTATTGTAATGCAAAGTATGTAAAATATGTATAAACAAAACTAAAAGTGGCCGACACCATACGACCGGCCATTTTTTTCGAAACAACAATTGTTTGAAGTTAAAAGTAGACTAGATTTATCAGCTAAAACTGTGATATTTATACATCATCGTAAAGCACAAATCTTCTAGTTTATTTTGATGTATAACACTTGCAAGATAAATAAAACAAAACTGTAGTACTTACGATATAATTGTTGGCATTCACAAAAACACTTCACAACACGCGCGTCAAACGAGTCAACTGAACTTAAAAAATTATATTTTGTTTGTCAAAGCTTATTACACTGCCATCTCTATTTTTTTCGTCGAACTATTTATTCATCTGTATAGATAATCTGTCAAAACTCACCAAGCAAGACCGTATTTTAAACTAGAGGGCGTTAAACACAACTCGTCGCTTTGGATACTATAGTATCCATGGGCGTATGACGCTACTTTTTTCTTGGATACCGTACTATCCACGGACGTCAGAGTGGTTAGAGAATTTTAATCCACATTTTAATCATGTTTTACGATTTTCTTGTTCCAGAACGATGTGCAGTTGACCATCCCCACCACACATTACCTATCCTTTTCGGAATAAAGAATTCAGACAAGGACAACGTAATAATGAACGCGAGTGGGCGTGGCGCCTCGAGTGGGCGGGGCCGGGAACAACAACCGCGCGTGGTGGCCGCGCAGGCACTCGTTCAGGGACTGCGCACGCACACTGAACAACTCAATGTTATTATCACGCAAATGGAGAAAATGTGTGATGGTAAGTAATTAAGAACTGACCAACACTGCTACTGTTTGCTATTTTAGTGGTTTTAAAATGTAGATACGACTTTTAAAACGTATAACAATCTCATAAAAAAGAAATAATTACCTAAGGAATAGGGGAGATATATTAAGTTATTGAAATCTAAATTATTTAATATAACAACTAATTTAATTTTCTAGCTATAATAAGCTTCGCTAACTACGTGCCGACGTCGAAGCAGAAGAAGCAGCCGATTCCTGGCGCGGAGAATATACACAAGCTGCGCAGTTTGTGTGCAGTCCCCGTGCCCACTGTAACTCTGCCCATCCTAAAACATTGCAACTATGAGGATATACCCAGTAAGGACATATTACCATCGTCTTTCTTTGATAAACATGCTTTTGGAAAAACATATAGCTTTAATTCCGTAATTCCGCTAAAATGCTTTGTTTGCTCGATTAAGTCATTTTTAAATTGAAAAAAATGAAGTCCTATGTCTTTCTCTTAGCAATAAACTCGGATAATACTACATAAATTTTTCAGCTCTGCATGCATTTGATAAGTACTTCGAGCTGGTTGGCGGCGTAAACTGTCCAAAGAAGATAAACTGTAAAGATAATACCGGAAAAAATAATATTATACTGATAAAGGTGAATATAAAAAACTGTTATAGTGATTTTCATAGTTTTAAACAAAAATCAAAATAATTCGTGTTTTCAATATACGATTCGTTAACGCTTGTATGCCACTCGATCGGTGGCTTATCTATCAAGCTATAGTTTTTTTTTAATTTATTATCGATCTTTTTGCAGGGTGGGGATGATTTGAAACAAGATGCAGTGATGCAACAAGTATTCACTATTGTGAACACTTTGTTGGAGAAAAATCCAGTGACCAATAAAAATAAACTACTCATTAGGACTTACAAGGTGGGGGCTTTGGCCTTTCGATATTTCGTTAGTTATTTGTTTAGTGATGTGATTTCATTACTTTGTAGATTATAGTCAAAGAAACTGATCAAAATACTGTACAAACTGCCGCAATTTATTTGCCTACAATACATTTTAATAAAAGTTTGATTTATCCTGTAGTAAAATTTCTGGGCCAATTTTTCAATGCTCAGATTTGTAACTGATTAACTTTCAATATTTGACAATTTTTCCTACTTAAAAATTGTCGACTGTCAATTTTATTCTACAGTTAAGAATTAAAAGATGATCGAAAAATCGACCCTAAATAATTTGCTTATATTTGGTGGGCCGACGTTAGACCTCTATCTCGCCTGGTGGTAAGCGATGATGCGGTCTACGATGGAGAACGTCGTCCCATAAGCAACCTGAATAGGTTAATACCGAGCGAATACTCGGTCTATTTATTAACTATTTATGTGTGTTTGCAGGTGGTGCCAATGTCTCGACTGTCGGGAGTATTAGAATGGTGTGAGGGCACTATTCCTATGGGCATGTATCTGGTTGGCTTGGAAAAAAATAGCGGTGCCCATGCACGTTATAGACCTCAGGTATGAATTAAACCCACTTTATTTTATAAGATACTTATTTCAGTGTTCACCAATCACCCCCTAAACTGTCACTTAACTATAAGTCACTTGGCGTATTCACCAATCACCCCTAAACTGTCACTTAACTTCTCTTTTTCGGGTTTCTTTAAATTTAGGAGATGTTGGTGAAGAAAACAGACATTCAAAATATTTGTCCTAGCTAATTATTATTATGAAAAATTATAATTAACATGTAAGACAGGATTTGTATTTTTATAAAAAAGATTTCAAACTATCCTCTGTTTGTTTAACAGGATATTTCATCTGACGCTGCTCGTAGTAAAATGGTTGAATCTGCGAACGACAGTCATGAATCAAAGCTGAATGTTTACAATAAGATAGTCCAGTCCTTCAAACCGGTGTTCCACTATTTCTTCACTGAACAGTACCTTGATCCGGTCACGTGGTACGAAAGGAGATTGGCTTACACAAAGAGGTATGTGACTTTGACAAATTAAATTATTTCTATACGTCTCTTGGTAGCCGTCTCGCACTTGGTGAGCTGCTTATCCCGGAATAGTGATGCCTAAATTATTGCCTATATAGTTTAAAAATAATATATTACGCATATTATGGTATTCTTTCATTTTATCATTGTTGTAACGAAAATGTTACCAACTTTAATTATATGGCTATGTTTGTGGTATGTAACTATCTATAACAACTGTCATATATCTTCATAAGACACCTTAGCGCTGTGTTGCAATGTTAATTCAAACTAAATAGTTTTTTTTTTCTTATTTAGTGTTGCGACCTCTTCCATGGTCGGCTACATCCTGGGACTCGGCGATCGACACGTGTACAACATTTTAATCGACAGAAGGACCGCTGAAGTGGTTCATATTGATTTAGGTACATAATTAACTTAAGAGTATTGAAAGTAATAAAATTGAACTAGTTTTTTTAAACACAAACATGTTTGCAGGCATCGCTTTCGACCAAGGCAAGACATTGCGCACTCCTGAGACAGTGCCGTTCCGACTGACCCGCGATATTATTGCCGGCTTCGGTTGCAGCGGAACGGAAGGAATATTTAGAAGGTAAAAATCAACACTTATATTAATAAGTACGCTAAAGTTGGTATTACTTTATTTTCAAGTACACATGTCGCTGTTTTCTTTTTTATTTTTTGAATGTTATTAAAGAATTCATTGATAAATAAATCTTTTGCCTCTCTATAGGTGCTGCGAAAAGACAATGCAACTACTTCGGGATAATCAAGAGACCTTATTGACAATATTAGAAGTTTTACTATGTGATCCATTATACTCGTGGTCCGTTAAAACAGCGCAACAAAATGCTCCTACTTCAAGCAGAAATACCAGTGCAGTCTGTAAGTATTAACAAATGTTATAAAACTTAGGGCCGATTGAAATCATCAGTTAATTCCTAACAGTAAAAAAATGTAATTTTTTAGTATCGACGTGTAAAATATCGGCCTTTTAGCACTTAATGTAAATACGCAACGCGATCGCTCGATTAATCAAAAGCATTGACTGTGTGAAGTGGCGCGGTATCCTACGCGTTACTGACCCAGTAATGACCTCAGTTTTTTTTTGTCCAGGTGATACCGGGACTCCTAGCGGCCTAGCAAAGCGAGCGCTGCTGGTAGTGACGAGCAAGCTCAGTGGAACTGAAGACGGAGTGGCAGGCGGCGTGGCTGTAGCAGGACAAGTTGCGCGCCTACTACACATTGCCACAGACCCATTCAATTTATGTCGCCTCTTCCACGGCTGGCAACCCTATTTGTAATCGTTAATGTGCCTTATTTGAATGTTGATTGTTTCATGTAATTATGACTGATTCAATAATAATTAATTGTAATACAATGAAAATAAATGATCAGTTTTTATTCTTTTATGGTTTGTTTTACTTTAACCACAATTAAGAAAATCATCATCATATTTTTCTTAAGAAAATCATTAATTATATTTAATACTAGCGACCCGCCCCGGCTTACCACGGGTGCAATATGAATGTATTATACATAAATTATGAACTCTATCAATCTATTAAATCTGTATCTATAAAAACTCTATCTATTAAAAAACCGCATCAAAATCCGTTGCGTAGTTTTATAGATCTAAGCATACATATAGTGGAACCACTATGCTTATTATACTCTTGGATACATAGGTACAGACGTGGTACAGACAAACGGCGGATAGCGACCTTGTTTTATAATATTAGTGATAACACGATTTGTGGATCACACAACACTAACAAAGAGTACCGCAACATGTTGCGCAACAGCCGGTGTATAGGTATTAATGTAGAAGGTTTTTTTTTTTTTTTTTTAAGGGGGAAAATCATCGAATGACTGCTCCCGCCTGGGTGAGGCGGAAGGGAGTGTCAGACTCTTACTGACTAAAAACCACCCCGTTCCTTCTCCTGCACGTCGAGCCGGAGCCCCGGTTACCCGTTAGGTTCTCCGCGACAATGTAGAAGGTTAGATCGATAACCTAGCCTTAAATTGATCTTAAAAATGATGATTAATTCATGCAAATCCATATATCATTCATGAAACAATTATAATGCAAAAAAATAGTATCTGAAAACCAAGCTGAGCTTTTGTGAATTTTTATTTAAATCATCCATCAAATACGGCAACAGGTATGGCAACTTTCTAAGAATTGTCAACTTCTGTCAAATTCTGTTGAAAATTGCGTTACCATGGTAACGGAATTTAACAACAAAAATGTGAGATAGATTTCATATTCTCATTAAATGTTGTATTTAAAAGCAGTTACTGTGCTTTCTTTATTTACTATTAATGATTTCTCATGGCAGAATTGCATATATTAGGGCAACTACAGTGTGCGTCAAATTTTAAGGATAATTCTTTATTTTGTCGATACTCTTTTCAAGCCGGTAATTATTCGTCTGGATTACGTAACTGTTAGTTAGTCTAAATATGTGGAAAGATCTATTAATTTAAGTCAAGTATTCTGCAAATTTCAGGTCCAAACTGGACAGTAGTTTCAGGGTGCCCTGAGGGGCAGACTGTTACAGGCAAAGTGGATCACGACAGAACGGTTGTTTGGTCTCATCCTCTTGATATCCACTACGTAACTAAAGGGGTTCAAGGTGCGTATTCGTAACAAAATAAACCTTGCACAGTGGTTATTGTCAATCATAAATGTTTTGTAAATCAGGTTGGCCGAAATTATTAGTGCAAGTGAGCTGTCTCGATTCTATTGGTCGATCCTGGATAGTAGGCTATGGTTGCTGCAGCTTACCCGCAGTGCCAGGGCCTCACACTATTCAAGTAAACTGCTGGGTGCCAGCAACGACTTCAATAACTGACAGAATCCGGCAATATTTTCTAGGAGGATCACACCAACTTATTCAAAGTGATATAGTTAATTTAGGATTAAACAGGTGAGAAGTCTAATAAAACTTTATCTCTGAAGCATTAAATGAATCTTAATGTGCAAAATAATTTGTTTTACAGGTTTAAGTTAAAAACCCAATCAAAAGGGTCAGTTCAGTTGCAAGTGACCTTACTACTTAGGAACTTTAGTCAGTTTGGTGTAGAATATAAGTGAAAAATGAAAGTCATTACCTATCTAGCCTTTACATTTCTGTCAATACTCATTCAGTTTTGTGTTATGGATTATATTCAAGAGAAAATAGAGACTGAAGAATCTGTGAATCTCAGTGTGACAACTCATAAAGAAATATTAAATGATTTATTGAAGAATATTAGTGGCAAACCTCATGCTCTTTACTACAGAACTATCTCAAACAGATCACTGAAGAATGCCTCTCCATCAAAGATTTATAATAACTCCTCAATGGCAGATGTATCTACAGGAGCAACAGATGGAACTACAACTATATTAGATGTGTTGTATGATGAAAATACTTCTGATATAGAAGTAGCTACCTCAACCACAGAGATGTACTACACAAGCACTGAATATGACAATATTACAGAAATAACATTCTTTGAAACCAATAATAAATCGTCTAGTGTACCTAGTCTCACACCGAAAACTAGCTTTAATATGCCATGTGATTGTAACTTATTGGTAAGGAAAAGAAACTTTTTTCTGAAAGTATGTTTACTTACACGGACTACAAAGAATTAAATATAGATATCTAGAATATTTCTTATGTTTTTATTGCAGTATAAAGTATGTGACATAAATTGCTGTTGTGATGAAGATTGTTCGGATATTCATTACAAACTGTTTCAATGCCAAGAGCCTGGCAAAGGTGATAGAAAAGCAGTAGATGGATGTATAACTCATTTACTAGACGAACAGAGGTATGGGGGCAGTATGCTTGATGATTTGTTTTGTATAGTTAAGACTAATTTACCAAGCAAAAGGAATATCAAAAAGGCAAGTCTGAAACTTTTTATCAGAAATACTGCATATTAAAATTATAAAGGCTTTGATGTGTTTTTTATTTTAGTATGGTGAAGCTCCAGGATTTTATTACAAATGGGAAAGCTCTAGTCAGAAACATTACTCTTATGAATTTAAAAAAACGTACACACAGGGTGATCCTATATGGATATTAAAAAATGAATAATCTATTATTTAGGTAAGGTATATAGCAGCTTAAAGATTTCTAATAGCTATGTTTATAAATTTTGGGTAAAATTATGATTTTTTTTTCTTTATTTACAGATTTTCCAGCTCCAATGATGAATAATTACTGTACTGATAGAGTACCTATTGCTTTTCTCAAAGAGGAGAAAATGTCATGTAATGTTAAACTTAAAGATTTAGAAATGTTTAATATTTTAAAAACTTCAGAAGAAGCTATGGTTATTAGTGCTACTAACAACACAATTAACAGTACTGCTTTGGTATGCATTTATTTCTGACTAACAAGCTGTAGCGATTGCTCGGGATATCGTAACTTTGAACCTAAACATTCTTACCCATTCCGTATTTTTGCTACAATTTGATCTCACATTTCAACTTTTTCTGTGTAATTAAGAAATTAGTTATTGTTAGTAGGTAATAAAGTGAATTAATAAGGTAGTAATATTAGTGGTGTTAGTAATTTAGTATAAATTGTTCACTTACCTGTGGTGAAATCTGTGTAGCAGCATGCGTAGCACTTGGTCCAGGTGTAAACACAATTTTTTATGAAGGATAATACGAGACGAATAAGGAAAAACAAAATAACACAAACACCGTGATATGTGTTATCTATTTTTCTAATTTATGCCTTTTCCAGATAGTGAATATAATATTTAACTACCAATATTTTTTTCAGAATTGCACGACTCTCCATTGTGTCAATTGGACTATACTCACGTGTGAAAATGGATTTTGTACAAATTATGATAAGGTTCAAAATGAGGCTTCGTGCACTGAAGATATTTGCACCAACATTGCATTGAAAGTTGAATACGAATTCTATTATTATGATTTAAAAATTACAAATGCGACAATAAAATTACACGTTCAAAATGTATCAAATGCTTTGCCATTCATGATGCAAGAAGTCAGAGTACATTTTTATATGTCAAATAAGTCTACAGAGAATGTAATTGAATTAAGTGGAAATCTAGGATACATCAATGGCCTTCCGGTTATAGCATCGTATGCTAGTAATAATTACACCGACCACTTTTTTAATAATTCTACAGAAAAAAGACGCATTTTATTACCAGAGAACAGAAATGGACTCTGTGTTCGAACAAACACAACAAATAATTTTGCAAAATTTGGGGTCAACAAAAGAACTAAATGTCGCTATATTTATTTACCCAAGAACAAATCGAAACAAAAATTGTGCAACAATATACAGGTGATATTAATGAACTGCTCAGATTAAACAATAATATATCGGTTTCCCCTCTTGGGAACCCACAGGACATTACTGACGATAAATGGTTACATTTGTATTTAGACAAACATAATTTGGAACCTGTTTTTGGAGAATATAATGAAAACACTTTGAAACTTTACTGTTATAATTTAATTAACAGACTCTCTTTCACCTTCATGTACGCTAATGTTGACGAAAACAGTTACACAGAACAGAACAAATTACTGTCAGCAAAGTACGAAGTGACTACAAATAATTTTACATTTACTGGTGAAGACATTTCATTCGTTATTACTATTGATATTAATTTCATTGATTTGTCTAAGCCAAGTGTTATTGAATATGCTGGAGGTCCACATTTAAATATTCATTTACCTAAAGATTTTTTCTTCCCCTTCCCTCGAAATAGCTGTACTCAAATGTTCAACACATGCTTTGTAACTATATGCTGTTATGTCATGTTATTTTTTGCAAATAAAATAACTCTTGAATAATAACTAATAATTTTTATTTTGAAATAATTTAAATACTTTTGTTACTTCTATCACTTCTAACTTGGCATCCCCTTCAAGGACTTAACGATCTTGAGTTTGTGGTGGCCTGAAAATAAAACCCATTTTAGGTTCAATTAGACCACGTCAACCCAAACTTGCGCGGTAACAATACACAGTTTACTCACATATAAAACTAACTGTGAGAGAATCTGATTGTCACGCTTCAGTGTACAGGCTACCCATAAAACTACGTATAACTCTGCATTAGCGATATTCAAGAGGCAAACGAGAATTTAATAAAACATAGTGTTATAAAGGAAGTTTTTAATATAGCCGCATCAAGAAAACGAGGTAAACTATCATAGTACATGACGTTAAGGTACTAGAGCTATATTGGTATTTACAATATTTTTACATAATTAATCTTCAAAGAATAGTCTAATAAAATATAATGAAAAGCAAAGAAGACAGTAAATATAAACTGAAGCTGCTTTTACACAAATCGATCGGAGCAATGTTGAGATGTCGCTACAAACCTATGCGACGTAAGTGTAGACTTTGCGGTCGTCAGGCGTGCGAGCGAGATATTCTCGTTCAATGAGCCCTTCGATGCGTTTCTTGATGACCACTGGCGACGGTAGGAAACGTGCACGTAATTGCTCCGTTACTTCGGCGACCAAGAGCGTGTGCTGAAATTAAAAATAATGCCATTAATTATAAACATAACAGACATTAGAAACAGAAAAAATAAAATAAAAAGAATAGATAGCAAACATACCGCCATCTTCTTCCTAGCTTTCATGATGCGCACGATGGCTGCTTCAATTTCATGTTTACGGTCTTCATCAACTTTGTTACGTGTTTCACGTCGCTCCGGTTCAGATTCGCCTTTAGCTGCTACAGTCTGGATCTTAACTCTGGAAATTACATTACATTGTTAATTATTTTATTTCAGAGTGAACGAATATTTATTTTTGTTTAAAAGTGTTTCTACAAACCTATGTAACTTAGAAGTAAAGGCGTCGTTCACGTAGAATTGATGTGACGGTTCTATCTCTTTAGTCTTCGGTTGCTTGATAAGCACCCTCTGCGTCGGTTTCCCCATCGCTAACGACTGCAGGGCCCGGACCAGATCTTTCTCCGGAATATCAGTCTCGTTGAGTATTTCCTGGAACGATACATACAGTGTGTGTTATAACTATTGGGGTTGTATTTTTTTATATTGTCTTAGTTGAATGAGTACTTTTGAAAACAAGTGTTTTCTAGCACGAAATGCGTAAATTGCGCAAAGGTTGATACGGTCAATTTTAAATTTAAACAGAAGAATCCATACCTCATAAGTAAGTCGTTCGCGTTTGTTGAAGAGTAGAAGGACGCACATCTGGAAGGTGGAGACCTGTATGATGTGTCGGCGCGGCGCGGCGGGCGCGGGCGGGGAGCGCGGCGGGGACGACGCGGCCGCGCGGAACGTCGCGTTCAGGTCCGCGGACCCCAGCTGGGGCTGCAGCGACAACTGACGACCCGAGTGCTTCGCCAGGTAGAAGCTGACACACAACATTCATATTAATCATCCATGAAGAGTCAGATACATTTAAGTTGAGAAAGTATAAGTTTGTTACAAAATTATTGTCAATGAACAATATTTATTATCTATATCAATGTCTATACCTTCTGAAAACTTCAAATGCATTCCGCGGAGCGGTAGGGATATTGCACTTGGGTGTCGCGCTTTGTGTTGGCCAGAAGCCAGTTGTTAGGACACGCACTGACAGGTCCACACCATGTAAGTTGATCTGAAATCATTAAAATATTCCCTTAGAAAACTGAGAATACGCAAGATCTTTGTGATTCGCGAGTGTAAGCTGCAACTTACAGTCAGCGTCGTTAAAACCACATAAATATAATAAATAACAAAGATTCACCCCAGATGACATCACATGTTCCTTGAACTCTTCCATTATGGTGTTTGAGACAGTCATGTCTTTGAACATTCCTTCCAGCTTTGATGTGAACTGACAACCGCATTCAGTCTGAAACAGTATATAATTTGGTTTAATTAAAATGATATTAATTCTGTGTGAACGAGAGCTACTTAATAATAAAACCAACCAAAACATATGCCAACAAAATGTTAATTTCGTATTTCAACTTGTGTTGTGTTATTTCGTGTACAAAGTCTAGCAACAGTCGGAACTAATAATACAATATTATACTCAAACTAAAATTAATCCTGCTTAAAGTCTTAATCCTCTGCAAAATTCTTTACCTAAACGACTTTTGGAAATGTATTACTATCAAGTAATTTTGAAAAGAGAAGCAAAAAAGCTTTCGATTTGCATCCCAAGACTTTAAGCAGACTTTTCACTATAGAGAAAGAACTACCAGCGTACTAGGCATTGGGACACTTACGAAAAATGTCCATCTATAATTGGTAAAGAATTTTGCAGAAATATGTGGACAGGACGGGGAGGTCAGATGGATTGTTCTATTATTCACTTATTGAATTCTCTATTTGCGAGACATCTCCGATTATACAATGAAAATCTCGCGGCTCAACATCCTTAAGTAAACCTTCTTTCTGGGAAGGGTAGAAACCAAAATACGTTTAATTTTCGACTATATGGTAAGGTGATAAGGAATTTTTTGCTACAGTAATATTAGTTTATAACTGACCTTCAGTTTCGAGATCATATTCTTCTCACTGTCATCGGACACAGATTTGTTGAGTAACAATCGCTTAGCTAAGTGCTGCTTGTAGTAACGCTCGAACACATCCTTCTCTTGCAAGAATCTAAACAAGACCATAGTTTTGTCCAATACGGCTTCGATTTCTTGTTCACTCATCTGGAAAAAAATTGTAGATATATGTTAAGACAATATTATATTTCTTTGATCACCTTTTTTTCTCTGACAGACATATTTTTCCCTGACGGATTAAACTTAACATGGCATGTACGGTAAAAGAAATACTTACGCCTTTTTCACCCTTCTTAAGCTTTCCATCGATGAACAGCGATAAAAACTCTGGAGATTTGCTGTTCAAGTTGAGAAAATATTCAAAGTCGGATGCAATCATGTGTTTGAAAATTTTATCATTGTTAAATGAATTTTGCAGGAAATGATCAAATCTATCCTTTAGGTCGAGAAGATTCTGTAACAAAAGAAATCCATGTACAGGCCATCTCTCAAAGTTTGGTGATGAGAAAAACACAAATTATTATTAAAATAATTAATTAATTCGCCATCTCAAAATTCCGAAAACGTCGACAACGCATTTGCAACATTTCCGTTAGTGTCACATGGGTAGCAGGTGGCTTCCCATCAGATGTTCTGTCTGTTCGCTTGCTGGGATGTCTAGTTATTAATATTAGGTGTATACCTGCACGAATGTGATGGCGTTGGTGTTGTGGTGCGTGTCGGTGACGAGCGCGCGTCCCTGCTCGCGCAGGTGCGCCGACACGGCGTCGGCCACGGTGCGCAGCCCCTCCGCCACGCGGGACAACAACTTGTACACGCACGCCAGCTCCAGCGTGCGCGTGTGCATCAACATGTGCACCACGCCAGAGTTCTCCATCTAACACATTACAGTAACGCTTCAATAAACATCTTTAAACAAGTATTGAAATATATGAACAAACGGTAGTTTGGAGGACTGTGTTTCTAACACAGTCCTCCTGAAAGAGTAAGAGTGTTTCAATTATGTAAGGAGTAGAGTGGGTTGGTACTGTTTTACAAACAACAAGCTGAACCTTTAATTAAGGATAAACAAAAACACAATCACAGGAAAACTGAAAAAACGGGCCAGGAAAAGACGTATCTCAGTATTCTGCAAAACTCCTTATACACAAGCATAGTAACACAGGGTGTATACTGATCTTAACTTCAAGAAAAACCATACTTTGGTACGAAAGGACCATGGTAAGATAACGCATATGTTATATTTCACCATGTAAGTCAGGTACTGGTACTCCAAACCCTCAAAAGTTCGGCAACGCAGTTTAGTCTCCTTTGTTTTGTTCTCCAGTTACCTCAACGATGGTCTTCATATGCCGCTCGATGAGCTCGTGTTCGAGGACGGCGACGACGCGTGGCTCGGTGCTCTCGTCCAGGTAGTGACGCGCTCGCTCGGCTTCTTCGGCGATGCGAGCCTCAACACGGTTTATGTAAACCGCTGCGCTATTCTCCGCCAGGAATTTTTGAGATTCCATCTAAAACAACAATTTTCAAGTCATGTAACTCTTTGCATTGTTTGTATCCCATAAAAACAATGTAAAATATCAAACTCATCTTCAACCACAAATACCCCCTTTGAAAATAAAAATAAATGTGAAGCTATAAAAAAAACATCATAATGTATTATCATAATTATTTACATGAAGAAACAGTCTTTTTCATCCAAACACAACACAAGAAATTGACACAACATTGAATTGTTGGTTCATCGATATATTTACGAATAGTTAATAGTCCTACTATGACCTTAGCTACATTATGTGTGGTAAAGGTTACATGCAGATCAATAGATTAAATACTATCAGGTATATCTGTTGAATCCACCTGTCCAAACACATAATAAAGCAATATTGCTATGGCAGTATGCCCAAGAACATTATTACTTTGATTGCCAATTTTGTTTGGCTGCTATTTGAGTTATCATTTGTTAAAGACTTACCCTGTAAAATTCGGAAGACTGATGCAGGAAGGGCTTCTCAAAGTCTTCCTCGTAAACAGCGCGTGAGTTGATGCCGAGCACCATGAGCATCTGGCAAGCGTTGCGTATCGCCAGCCGGTCCACTACTTCACCGCGACGCTCGCGGGCCACTAGCTCCAGCAGTGTCTGGCGTAGGTGGTCACGGATGCACCCATAGCGAACAACCTTGGAATAAAACGCGCTGATTAGTTTTAAAATAATTAGAATGTCACATTGTACTTCATATGAAGTAATACACAAACCCACAATTTACAGTGGCCCCTGAGCCTAACTAAAAAAAATAAAATTT